GTAGATTTCAAAGGTAATGACTTCAAAGCTGTAGTTTTTGAGTTCATGGAAAATGGAAGTTTAGATGATTGGTTGCATCCCAAAGCAAATGAGCAGTCCAAACCAAAGAAATTAGACCTTACGGCAAGGTTAGATATAGCTATTGACGTAGCTTATGCTTTGGATTATCTCCACCATCAATGTGGCAAACCAATTGTTCACTGTGATCTGAAGCCAAGCAACATTCTTCTGGATGATAATTTTACTGCTCATGTTGGTGACTTTGGGTTAGCCAAGTTTCTCAAAAAGGTTACCTCTCAGTACTCAACAAGTTCAGCTGGTCTCAGAGGAACTATCGGGTATATTGCTCCAGGTAAAAACTTATATTTTCTTGATTTCGTTACTTTTATATATGTTGTATTATTTTCTTAGGCTAAAATTTTAAAAGAGAAAACAAGATTACCATCTGAACCTTAAACATCACGGTAGATTTTCCTTTTATAGTTGAACACAATGCATTGTTTGTTTTTCTTCACACGTGCAAGCTTCAAATGCATACATGCATGTTTTACTAACACATTTCTGTTAGAATATATGTTCTGAATTTAAAGATGTAATTTTATTATCATAATTAAACTATGACATCTATGTGTTCATCTTATGTACTTCACTGAAAATATTCTCTTAGCATTCCATATATTGCCAAATTAATTTGGTAAGGAAAATGCAATACTCAGTCTTACTTTATTCTTTCTCTTGGAATTATCTCAGTGTAATCCATTCTAATTGCTTCTATGTATTTCACCTATAACAGAGTACGGAATGGGGAATGAAGTTTCAACTTGTGGAGATGTGTATAGCTATGGGATCCTTTTACTGGAAATGTTTACAGGAAAGAGACCCACTGATGATATGTTTGTAGGAGGTCTTACTCTTCCTATGTTTGTGAAGATGGCATTTCCTGAACAAATCATAGATGTCATTGACGCTCATTTGCTCACACCAAGTGATGATTTTGAAAGAATGAATTATGCAAGAGCAACCAACTGCATCGCTTCAATTCTTCGAATTGGTATCTTTTGCTCAAATGAATTACCAGCAGAGAGAATGGAGACAGACAAAATCATCAAGGAACTGCATATTGTTAGAGATATGTTCATGAGGAATGGAAATTATGGGGAGAGACAGAGAGTACAGCAGAGTGGTGAAGGTCCGTCTACAAATATTCACTGACAAACATTGGTATGGGAATGTGCTATGCATGTGACACACACACTAATAAAATTCACACACAAAATTCCTACTGAAATTAATTCGATCGATCATGATGGTTGATTTAAGTGAGGATAGCCAATTTATTATGGATAGTTTCTACTAAAATATATTGCTTAGTCATTATGGTAATTTTAATTGCAAATATTTATTCGTGGAATGATCCTTTAGTGTAAGCTACATAAAAGGGAAAAAATTGCACTAGTATATTGTAGAGTAATCCTATTGAATTCCATACATTCAGCTTCATTATTTTTTTTGGTCGATGAAAAATATAATTCCATTAACCAAATGAGCATTTACGTACAACATCAAGGTACAGGCATACCTGAACGATACAATTTACTTCAGACACATGAAACCCACAAACAACAGAAAGATAATGAAACAAAAGCTAACAGCCTATGCATTGTAAATAGTTACCAACATCAAAATTAATATTCTGGAGGGATGAGATGGTGAAAGATAGCAGGTTGATAGTGCTTTAATTATTGTATTAAACCACTAGCATTGTTGCGTGTTATAGATAAATTCTTGTTGAAATTCTCTGTGCTTATATATTAGTAACCAAAGTGAAAGTGGTTTTTATTACTAAGTGGAAGAAAATAGTTCCTACCAACGCCCATGTGTGTGTATTTGTTGGGTGTTAAAGAGAATTCCTGTTGAAATGCCCTCTGCTCACACTTTAGTAATTTAATTAAGTTGCCTCTTAAATAAATGTTGACGGAAGAAAGAATTCATGCGGTAAACCATCGTTGTTGTTATTTTTCTGTCTGCAGAATTTCTCAGTTTATCTTTATGCTATGCTACCTTAGTTGCATATGTACATGTCATCGGAAATAGAGTATGGGATGGACATAGAGTTCTTATTCCTAGAGATTGCTACAGCCATAAAGTACTAGTGTTTTTGCATAGAGATGCTGGTGATATCTTCCAAGTTTTAAGCCTTAAGAAATTTGTTAATATCATTGATTTCCTTGCAATGTCATTGATTTACACTTGTTCATAATCTCCATACTCAGGATCGGCATTGTCTGCTCGAGCAAACTACTGTAGAGGAATGGAGATAGAGAATGTATTGAAGCAGACAAATGGTATCAGGAACATAGAGATTTATAGCGACAATAAGAGAGATGAACTTGTTTTTATATATGTTCTCATAGCGGTTTCTTTGTAATCAGTAGGTTTGGAATGTTTGGAAGTATACCTTTATCTATTATTCTAAATCTTTTTCCGGTTGTTTCTCCGGTAACCCTTTTTGTTCTATGAATGGCCTTCTATATCAGCGATCTTGTTTTGGTATTTCCGGGATTTCTTTTACTTCATTGGATAGATAGAGTTCTTTCTTTCAAGCATTGAGGTTGAAGCATATGTGTTTATGCTTTCTGTAGTTACTTTGGTAATTCCTGTAATTAATTTATTGGAGCTGATTACTACAAAGAGATTTTACCTACTGTAATTATTCTTGTAGACGGCCGTAGTATTCACAAGTTTATGAATATCGTAAAGGGAATGCTGACGCCAACAAAGACTATGAATGGCTTAAGAGTTATAGAGTGTGTAGGTTCGATTCTTGGACTTGGCATCTTTTGCCAAAGTAACATCGAGACTCGAGAGGAGCGAACTGAGATGGGAGATGTTATTGGAGAATGACATAAGGAATGGTGAAGGTGTTGTGCGCAGCGAAACTCGAAAGCCAAATAATGCACGAACAAGAACGAGAATCACAACCAAAAACACAAGCACAAATCACAATCATAGCAAGACAAATCAATTTACGTGGTTCAGCAAGTTGACTACATCCACGGGGTAAGGAGGGGGGAGTTTTTACTATTAGAGATAAAGAGAATTACAAATAGGGTTTCAAATCTCACCAAAAACCCTCAAACAAAGCTCTCTAGATCTCTCACAAATCCTCCCACAAAGAATGCAATAATCCTCTCTCAAAGACTGCTCAAATTATCCTTACTTAACCCTAATTAATCAGGTGTAGGGTTATATACCAACGGTAAATGAAACAGGTCAGAAAACCAAGCCCAACTCAAAGCCCGACTGGCGGTGGACCGCCCAGCAATCGACAGAACACTAAATTCCTTCAAGGTATTGTCGGTCAACCGCCACAGTCGACCTAACCCAACTCCAGAGAAGAAATCGAGTATAGGGTCGTGCGGTCAACCATGACAGTCGACCTCCTCACCTCCAGAAATCATCTTGGACCTCGTGCACATTTCCAGTCGATCGCAGCTGACTCGCGGTCGACCGGACAACTTGAAAAACTGTTTCTGTTCTTTTTTTTTGAACTTCAACAAATCTCCACCTCGGTGAAGTTTCTCCCAAAACTGAGCCGACACCAAAACATCTAAATATCTCACTTGTTGCATCCAGTACAAAGTGGAACAAATCCACGACAACGGACTTAATCCACAACAAGTCGGGAATCCAAAACGAGAGCTCAAACATCCCCCCCTGTCGAAATCAACAAATCCAACCGGCTGCATCAAAAAAACTATCTACATATCCTCTTGTCTAAGGAATCATGCCGAATGTAGTTCACCCAATTGGACTCCAAAGGTCCTCAACATTGAAGAATGTTCAATAGCTTCAAACAATGACTAAAATTCACACCTGAAACAACTTTGGTCAACATATCCGTAAGGTTTTCCTTCGTGTGGATCTTCTCCAATATGACATCTCCATCATCCATAACATTACGAACAAAGTGGAATCTGGCATCAATATACTTCGTGCGTGTATAATAAACCTGGTTCTTTACCAAATAGATAGCCGACATGCTATCACAATATACCCGAATGGTCTCCTGTGTAATCCCCAAGTCCTCCAACAATCCATGCAACCACAAATCCTCCTTAATAGCTTCAGTCACCGTCATATACTCCGCCTCTGTAGTAGAAAGAGCCATTGTAGACTGAAGTGTACATCTTCAACATACCGGTCCTCCTGCCAATGTAAACACATATCCTGAAGTAGACCAGCGCTTGTCAAGATCCCCGCATAATCTGAATCCACGTAGCCAATATAATCCTGCCATGTCTTCTCATTCTTCTAACAAATCAAACCAGCATCCATGGTGCCTTTAATATACCGTAGAATTCACTTCACAGCCTCCCAATGACCCTTCTCAGGGTCGTGCATGTACCTCGATACCATGCTCTTGGCCTGTGACAAATCTGATCTCGTACACACCATCATATACATCAAGCTACCCACCGTACTGGCATATGGAATCTTTAACATATAATCTTTGTCCTCAACCGAAACAGGTGACATCAAAGCTGAAAGGTTGAAGTGAGGAGCCAATGGAGTACTCACAGCCTTTGTATTGTTATCAAAGCTGAATTTTTTCAACATCTTCTGCAAGTAACTCCTCTGTATAAGATTCAATCTCCCCTTCATTCTGTCTTTCTCGATCTCCATACCCAATATCTTCTTAGCTTCTCCAAAATCCTTCATCTTAAACTTGGATGACAGCTCATTTTTTAACTTTCGAATAGC